ATTTCATGTTACAAAATTATCTTAGCATGTTTTATTTGCGTTGGTTTTGGTTACCACAATTGTGTAAAGTGGAATTTTATAAAAAATTTGATAAGTTTAATGTGCTTTCGTTGAGATTAGTGCTCCAAAAGGGTCGTTCGGGTCGAGTCCGAACACAACCTGGTAATAATCGGGTTCATTACGGCTAGTTTTGATTGTGATCTAAATAATAGAACCGATTACTTATAATTCTGGTAAATTTGCAGATCGTTTGGCCAAGTTCTGAGTTTTTTGATCCCTAATTTGGCCAAATGATCTGCAAATTTGATTGACCAGAATTATAAGTAATCGGTTCTATGTCTATAAATTTGAATTTATGTGCTGTACAACATTATTTCAAAATATTAAATAACGTTATAATAATTTTTGTGACTATAATTTGCTCGGGTTAAATATTAGGGGTCTACGATTTACTGATAGTATGTAATAATTTATTAGATTTCTTTTTTTGGTAAAAAATTTTTACAACTAGGTATCGTTCAGACATTTATGTAAAATAAAGTACCTACGTATAAACCTTTCATTATTCTGGAAATTTATAATATTTGCAGTAATCATTTACCAAATGTGGTGACTGTTTTTTTTTTGTGGTAATTTGAAGTATTGATTTAAACTCGACATCTTTCTCAATATCAAATTTAAAGAAATGAAGACTTTACCGTATAATTTTATGATTACCGTCATTTTTTTTGTTGACTATTTTATCAGTAGGATATAAAAAACTTATCCAAAATATCCATTCATCCTAATTTTTTAAATATTGAACATTATCAAGATAATGCGACCATGGCTATCGTTCGCATTGTCATGAAGTTGGCAATAATTATTTTTTAGAGAAATAAGGCAAAATCGTTCTAAGAAAATAACTCTCCGAGACTTACATAGATTTGCTAAATATATATTTAAATTTGTTAGCTATCTAATAATCTAATAATCTGGTCTGAATAAACTTTTGTATTGTAAAGCTTTAATGAGCTCTGCAAAGAAAGTTTAGTAAAATCAAATAATTGGATGCTTAACAAATTTAAAATAAAACAAAGATATTCATGTTTTATATTTTATTTTATTTTTTTTTAGTAAATGCGATGGATGATTCAGTTTATTACAGAATGATGTTATAGTGCAGTAGATTTTGCTTGCTTTTAAGTTACCGTATTTGCAACTTTAAACGGAGTATCAATTATGTACACCAACACAATCTACTGTGAATGCAGGAATATATACCGTAATATTGAATTATAATCAAGTTAAAAACACCTCAAAGATTCACTTTATATGAAATGATAGAACTTAAAATTCACTAATTCAAAATGATACCATACCTACCACCGTACCGAATAAACTCAATTTACTACCACTACAAACTACAGACAAATTTTATTTAAGAATACTATTTCTCTCTTTCGGTTCTGGCATATAGTTTAAATTTATAATTTTTATCATTATGCATGGTGTTAAATCTAAGCTTATGAATCAATTAGGATGATATCCATTGAAACTTGTAACTAACGGAAATGTAACGATAGAATGACGATGTAAAACATGGCATTTTTGTTTCTTTAATAAAGAACTCACAGATATAATTTCCACAAAGAAAGAAAAAAGTATTCAACTGAATTTTATCTACTAGATATACCTAGATACATTATAAAAAAAAAATCTCGACCAAAATTGTATAAGGTCAGGATATTAAGATTCAATTCATTTGCAGATTGTAATTAAAGCTTAATTATAATATTTCTGGATTATAGTATTAGATAATACCCATGTCACAATACCCTCAAATTGTATCCATCTTCGTTAAATACCCATGGATAAATTGCTATGTATGATCTGTTTTTTTTTTTGATAAGAGCCGAGTACTAAAGATAGTGTGGTACGGTACAAGTTATTTAGATGAAATTTATGGTTAAATGTTTCTACTACTGTATTGATTTTCATAGTATGATTTAAATAATTTATTATATCTATCTCTTTTAATAATGTCTGTATCAGAATACTTTGAAATTCGCAAGATAAAGTTATCGTATTGTTTGCTTGCATTCTTAAAAGCCTGGATAATATCAGCTATAGCCCAAAAACAAACCACAAAAAAGAATTAGAATTCGGAAAAAGGTGATAATTTTTATCTAATTAAACTAATTAGTTGTTCTGTTCTTCATGTCTAATATATAAAAATATCTAGCATTTGTTTAAAAAACCCATAGGTATTTTAACTAAATAATACCTTGTAATATAATATATTTACTGGTAAATATTATTAAATAAATATATTACCTAGTAATTAAGTTATAATTTGTATTCTATATTACAAGTTATTTTTTAGTTAAAAATAAATTTTATCACTCTTTAATTTTATCTTGGCTTATTTCGTTTTAGCACCTTTACGGCATCTGCTCCAAAGCTATTCCAATTTTGGTTTACTTTTTTTACACTGGGGTAAGTTTGTGTATTATTCAAATTAACATTAGATATTCATATAACATTAATCTTATATTCTTTAAAATCAAAATTTCATTAAAAATAATTATTAGATTTCAGTTGTTTCACAGTAATCAACATAAAATTAACATATTTTTAGCATTGGGGAATATCAAGAACGGAATTATGATAAGAAGGATAAAGACAAGGATTTTGAGAGTCATGAAAATTATGATATATTGCTTGTAAGATATGGAAAAGTTGCGATTAAATTTGCATTAATATTTAGAGAGTGGTAGCGGTGAATAATTATTCGAAAATCGATCGAAAATTTCGAACATCGAAATAAACTTCATTTATTGAGTTTTAAACTCAGTCAATTATCGAGCATCAGTCAAGTTAAAATTTAACTATAAGTTTTGATTGTGATAAGATTTGATTGATTAATTAATAAATTTTTTCAAATTGACATTAAAAAACTCAATTGGACCCAAAATGCAAAAGATTACATGTTTTATCAACTGATGAGCGAAATCAAGTTGAAGAAACTTACGTGCTATGTATGCAGAATTTAAGAAGCGGCACTATTTATCTAAACAAATTACTTCATCAACATCCAATTTAGTTTCTGTAACTAATCGAAATGAAAAGCAAACTTACCGTAAAGAATGTTTTTTCATCAAGCTCACAAAACCAAGATAATAACGAAGTTACAAATTATCTTCCTTTTCCCGAGCTTGATTTCGAGGGAAATCCCATGGTGTGGTGGTCTTTAAAAAACGGCAAGTTCCGATTTTAAGTGAAATGGCCGAAAATTTCTTGCAATTCCTGCAACAAACACGCGTAATATGAAAACAAATGATTTTAATATAAATCGCAATTATAAGTCATGTAAATGCATATTAATTAATGTAGCGGTAATAGTACAGGTTGCTTTTATAATGCGCAAATTATAATCATGTAAATTGTAATTAAGTAATGTTGTGATAATGGTACAATCGATAAATTTCATGTTATACTATATTCTTTTGTATATTTTTTAAAAATTCGGTCAAAATTTTTTACCGATGCTCGAAAATCTAGAGATTGTGACTAATCAATGCTCGAAACTCATCGATTTCAATCTCTATTAATATTAAAATCGTGGTTTATGGACTTACAATTTTTAATACGCCATTTAACTATAGGTCTTTAAAAAAATTCTTTATACATAAGTGTAAAACACCGTAGATACGTTTTAATAAAATGTATTTATTTTATATTTATTCATATGATGAAAGGATTATTATTGAAATGTTGAACTTAAAATTATGAACATAATCTGTATTATTAATCTTAACAAAAATTAAACTATACGTATCATGTATTACGTTAGGCAATTATCAATTAAGTTGGAAATTTGTTACCTCGAATGATTAATATTAGTTATAATATTGGCAAATGTTTCACTAATGAGAATTGTCTACATATAGTCGTAACTTTATTAAGATTATATAATTCAGACTAAGCTAAGTGGACCCATTGTCATATATAAGTTAAAAAAACAAATAAAAAATTGCTAACACTGAAAAACGAAAGAAATCGAAGAAAATTTCAACGTGGATGCACAGCATCAATGCGTATTAAGTCATATGTACATACTTATGTGCGCATCAATGCATATTGAGTGCGCAAATACATACGTACGTACGTACGTATGTATGTATGCTATATAATGTAAGTTAGATCAATTAGATCTAAAAATAGTGATTTCCATAAATTGTAGACCGCCATTTATCGTCATGCCATTTATACATTGACCATTGACCAATGTACTTTATAAATAGTGAAATTTTGGGCTTAGGCCTGCATATTTTATCTAGCTGTTATTATGTAAAAAAGCAAATCAATAAATTTTATTTTTAAATGATTAAAAAAAATAAATGAAGCCGAAAATTAAAACATACCTAACGGTTTTTAGAAAATAACATAAATATGCAATGGTTTTAAAAAGGAATATATACAACGAAATTTAGTACGTAGAGCATTTCTTTTTTAATTTATTATATGGTTTATATGGTATCATATATTTTTATATTAAGATTTAATATTAGAAGAACGTTATAATTTTAGCACTTTCATTGATAACTTTGATTATTTTATACCGATTTCTTTTGTAATAAACGCATGTTATCATAAAATGAGATTTTATCTATTGTATCTGAGAAGCCAATTAAAAAAAAAAACATTCGATTCGATAAATTACAACAAAAAAATGAATATATAAGTGCATTTTTTTTCCCAGAAAATTTTTATCGTTTCAACAAATGTTTTTATAAATAAAATGTTTTTATAAATATTATTATAATTCAACCACAACATTTTTTAAATAATTCAAACAAACAATGTTTTTAAAAAAAATCCTTTTCCTCGTTATTTTGGCCATATTCATGGTCACCTTTTCGGAGGCTAGATTTATTAATATAAGAGAAGAGAAACCAAAAAAAATGTGCCGGAATGCTTTGCTCTCTGCTACTTTTGAAACGGATATAAAAGGTCAGATGTCATTCTACCAAGACCAAGATGGTGAGATATGGTTGACTGGTACTTATCAGTACGGCTTTCAAAAACCGGGTACCTGGGATTATTATTGGACAATTCAGAACGGTTGTGGAGAAATTCTTTATAACCTTACCGATCAGTTATATATGGAATATGCAAAAGATAGTACATGTGATGGTTATGACGATTCAAAATCAAGTTATCATAGAAAGAGAGGTAGTTATTTAGATAAGAGACATAAAAAACATGAAGATAAATGTGAAATGGGGGCATGGGGTAGCAAACCTTGGGTAGTTAAAGTTAGTGATTTGGCGTGGGATTGTGGTAAAGATGAAGGCTTCAAGTATAATACTTGTAAGGGTAAAGATATTTATAAAGATATGGTGATAGATTATACTAAAGAAAAACTTCCAAAACGGCTTAGTGCACAGGGACCCGAAAGTGGTATCTATTTAGTTATTGATGGTCAAAGTAAATGGGGAAAACGTCAAACTAGTACTTCACCCGCTGCGATTAATGTTAATAATGAAGGTAATGTCATAGCACCACCACCAGCAGATGCACCAGCTCCAGCTGCACCAGCACCAGCTGCACCAGCACCAGCTGCACCAGCACCAGCTGCACCAGCTCCAAATGCACCAGCACCAGCTCCAAATGCACCAGCACCAGCTCCAAATGCACCAGAACCAGCTCCAAATGCACCAGCACCAGCTCCAAATGCACCAGCACCAGATCCAAATGCTCCAGTTCCAAATGCACCAGCCCCAGCGCCACCGGCTCCAGGAGCAACTGCACCTGATGCAACTGCACCTGTGGACACTGCACCTGTATCAGTCTTACAAGCACCAACAACTGCACCTGCACCTGCAACTACTTCTCCCGAATCCGTTGCGCCCGCAGCATCTGTACCACCACCATCAACTAACCCCGAATCCGCTGCACCAGCACCAGCAGCAAATACTGAACCTCCACCAGCAGCTACTGTTGCTGCTTAAGCTACTGTATCAGTAGAACTTGTTGCACCTCGACAACAGGATAGAATAAAATATTGTAGATTTCTATTATTTTAATTGTTTAGTTTTTCATTTATAACATTTATAAGATTGAACTTTTTATAATGTATATATATTTGAGTGTAAATCTTTGGTATAAAAACAATTATTTGTCTTTACTTAAACCAATGATGGAGTAAATAACTCTAGGACTATCACTTAGTGTTAGGATCAATAAAATCTTCTAAAATTAATGTGATAAAAATATTATGTATTATGTTTATAACTTCATTAATAAAAAGTAATTGACATTAATACGTACATATAAACTATTTATTTTATTAACGCTACTTTAAATTGAAATCAGTGTGAAAATTGCTTCTGAATTAAAAACATAAAAGGTTGATACAAATTTTTATTGTATCATTTTTTTTCTTTAGTTCTCACTCACGAAAACATTCAACATTATGAACAATATGCACTAATATTAATAAGAGTCAACTAACCAAGTTAAACGGTTAAGCTTACTAACTCTTGATAGGCTTATAACACTAATATGTACAGTACTTATGAATATTCTAACAAAACTAAATATTAGGTGAATACTGAAATATACTTGGACTAGAATAAATTCATAAATAAATTGACTAAAAAAGCCTGTTAAAAAACGTAATATGTATAAACTTCTTTTAGTTACATGGTTTCTACCAAAACTGGTCATTGCATTGTTGGCTATAAATATCTAATATTTGATTCTAAGACAAAACACAATTACAAAACTTTTTTGTACTTAAAATATGGCGCAAAAGCCAATTTCTTTCTTTAACAAGCTCTAAAAACGTAATATGGCAAAATTAATAATAGTTTTTCTTGACATCTTTAAATTTCTTGAATTACTTGCATAAATCTCAATGAAAACTTCAACTAATCTGGCACGTATGCATAAATAAATTCAAAAAGAATTTTTTTCAATTTTTCATGCATACCCTATAAAAAAAATTCATCAAATAAATATTTTAAAATTGTTCTAAAATTGTTTAATAGTATTTTCAATTTTTATTTCATTTAAGTTTAGTTTTTGTCTAATTTTTGTTCAAAAAAATGTTCAAAATGGAGTCGATTTGTTGGACAATTTATTGAACAATAATTTATATGATTTTTGTATAAAATTAGTATATATTTAAATAAATTTTGTTTAATTTTTAACATAATAACATTAAATAATTGTACAATTAATACGCATTAGTTATTATATATTCATATAAAGCGTATTTAGCTTTTATCAAATAAATATTTTATTGTTGTCACAATGTCTTGCTTACATAATAATTATTAATTCAATTTTTGTGCAAATAATTTACTAAATACATGCAATTAATATTCAAATAAATCACAGCTTTCATTAACATTATTACCGCACATATATATATATTGTGCATATATATATCACATACATATGTTATTATGCGATTATTTTTCTGCAAAAAAAAAAAAAAATTAGATTTCAATTTTTTAATAAATATTTCAAATATTATATATTAAATTGTATCATACTATTATTCTTCGATTTTTTAGATACTTTCAAAGAACGGCTTTTAATAGTTTTTTTCGAGTTCACGGCATCAGCAATTTCATTAACGGGATCGTTACTTTGAGCGCTAGCATGAATGCTACTAAATCATAATAATGTAAATATAATCAATATTATTAATTAAATACTAATAACCAACTTGCAAATCACAGTATGTTAGTATACCTGGAAGCATGACTACGTAATGTGCGACCAGAGGCTCGAGATTTTTTACTTGGTATTTTCGATACTTCAGTGGTAGAACTAATATCTGGGATGTCGCTGTTATTTTGCTGTTGAAGAGTAGTTAATGGAGCACGAGAGGTACTAGTATCGGTAGTTATTCTTGCGTTATTTACTGGACTTGAAGTTCTGGTAACTTCTAAAGGTTGATTGTGATCGATGGTCTGAAAATATATAATATATAAAATTAATAGTAGTTTATTAATAACTTATTATAATCTACTTACACTCATTCCAAGGCTGGATACAAACTCTTCGATGGTCTCACGTGTTCCGATAGGAAGGTCTTTTATTTATTAAAAAAAACACCCCAAAAAATAAAATGTTTATAAAAACTAATAATTAAAATAACTGATTATACCTTTCTTCGTTTTTTTGCTATTGTGAGATGAATGGCTATTCATTTTACGCTTTTCAATATCACCTGTTGTAGAGTAAGTTGATTATATTTTTGTTTCATATAATAGTACTTATTCATAATTTTGGCTAATTCTTACGAACGTTTATTATTAATTATCCCTCGCATCATTCGCCTAATAGCCCAGTCACAAATTGTAAGGGGAAACGTTGGATTTTTGCGTTTAAACTAAAAATTATTTTTTATTATTTTGAAAATATTAATAGAAGCAATTGAACCATGGGTCTTACTCTTTTAATAATTCCACTTTTTTCGCTCTCAGGTATTTGTCGAAACTCAGGCACGTTCTTTTCATATTTAGCCGTTATCATTAGACGAAGTGATTCCTAGAATAACAATATTAAATCAATAAATAAATAAATCAATAGATAAATGAAAGATATGTATAATAACACTATTACCCGATAACTATTATATATAGGCTTATCAATCTTGAGAAACTTTGGTATATTAACGTACATTGTCTCACTTGGTTTTTCGATTGGTACTGGCTTTTGAATAATTATTTAGTAATTATGTAATAGTAAGATTACCAAATTATCAAATATATACAATAGAATCTTTGTCACTACTCTCCGTTCCTGAACTAGAAGTATCCTTGTGATTTTTCTTATTCGATTTGGGTTTTTTTTTTCTTTTTCGTTTCTTAGATGTATCGTTATCAGTATCATCTGAGATGAGTTCAATTTTTCGATTCTTAACCTTATTATGAGCTGTTTGAAGTTTCTCCAAAGTTTCTAATCGTTTAATTAAAGTCGACATTTTATTTGTTTTTGAAAAAGGTTCATCTTCACTATCTGAACTTTGTTCGCTTCTATCTGTTTCCGATTCCGAAATAGATCGAGTTACTTCTTCTCGATCACTTGCATTTGGACTTCGACTAATTGCAGACGCTCCTTTTTTCTTATTGAGAACCATTATTGCAGAGAAAAAAAATAGTCGCAATCTATTTATTAGTAAGTTTTTTTAATTTATAAGTGTATCTAATTTCACATTTACTTTTTTCTTACTAATAAGCACATTTTAGTCCAATTGGAAAGATACCTCTACCAAACCGACTTGAATGATAGTTCGCCAAGTTTCAATAAGAAAAGTTTATTCTTCAAGCAAAACTTATTGAATTAGAAGAGGCTTTATTTCAAACGAGCAAGAGCTAAAGAGAGTTCAACTGGAACAAGCGAGGTAAACTTGCCACTAGTTATTTACAGCAAAGGTAGGTATTTGTTTTATTACTTTTAAGTTAGAGAAAGAAATTTACTGATCACGATTTTCTCTTCCTTTTTATTAAATTTTTGACTATATATTATCATCATCGCTATGACATAATTTACTATGACATATTTTATACTGTACGTACTTTATATGAGTGCTGCCAAAGGACAATGTCCCTTCGGGCTTTCAATTATATTTTGACCGGACACAATCCTTAATAAATTATATAGTTTGTGTCCGATCAAAGTGTAATTTAAAGTCCGTGGCGGCACTCATATACTTTATATATTGATAAATATGGTAATAAGATTATGCGTATATTAAAATAGACTCTGCATGCATAAACTCTGATTTACCTGATTTAACCTGATTTAACTAATAATTACGATTACAAATAAATGTACTTATCGGTTAAATCAGGTGGAGTCAATGCAGAGTCTATTTTAACATTTACGTATATATTAAGTATTCGATCGATAAGAATTTTCAAAGTTAAAATTAAATAAAAGGGAAGAGAAAATCGTAGTCAGTAAATTTCTTTTTCTAATTCAAAAAAAGCAATAAAACAATACATACGTACGTACCTTTGCTGATAGTGAATGTTGGCTGAAGTTGATCAAAGGTGTCGTTAAGTAAGTTAGATTGTATGAGATTATCACTATAACAACTATTATTCATTTTAAATCTAAATTGAACAAGGCGTTCGAGACTTGAGCATCTATGTGTGATTCTGTTCGTAAGAAGACAAAACTAGTAGCAAAGTCTTAAACTGAATATATAGTATCGGAACATTTTTTTTTTTAAGCAATCAGGTTAGTATTTATATTGCATAGCTTATATATATATTATATATTTAAATTTACCGGTATATTTTATTAATTTTTGCAATAGAATTTTATTAAAAAAATAATGCCCGAAACCTTGGTTTGGTGTACTTGCAGTGTTTGCTCATTAAGTAAAGATGGCGGCTCTTGGAAACTAAAAAGTGCTAGAACTCGGCATCGGAGACGTGATAGGCGAAATGTGCGAAGCCCTAGTAATGATTTAGAATTACAAAATAATATTCAAAATCAAGCAGCATACGGTTTTTACCAAGAAACATTTGAGCCTGAACTTTATAATCTAGAAAATGATGGTGAATTTGAGGAATGGTCGGGAAATAATAATAGGTTAGGAAATGTCGACGGACTTGAGAATAGGTTCGAATGTGCTAATGAATTTGAAAATGAATTTGAAAATGGATTGGACTGTGATGATGAATTCGAAGGTATCGATGAATTTGAAAATGGGTTAGACTGTGATGATGAATTCGAAGGTGTTGATGAATTTGAAAATGGGTTGGACCGTAATGATGAATTCGAAGGTATTGATGAATTTGAGAATGGGATGGAATGTGATGAATTTGAAGGTATTAATGAATCTGAGAATGGTTCAGTAATTGATGAATTTGAGAATTGGTCAGAAAGCGATAGTAGCGATTCAAGTATAGCTAGTTCAACTTTAATAGATAATGAAGGTAATTATACCTACTCTGTTACAAAAAAAAAGTTATGAATTTGTATTTTTTATTTAATTATTTTTTTTTTTAACACATTATATTTTCTATTAAATTTTAGAGAATATCCCTTTTATATCCTCTGAACTTGCCGCAGTAATTCGACTTCTTAAGGTTAAAGCACAGAATAACCTTACCGATGAAGCCTTTAGTGAAATTATGAAAGCCGTAATAACAAAACCGATGAGCTTATATATGATCAAAAAAAAATTATCATCATTAGTTTCGTTTAAACCTGTGTGGATAGACATGTGCATTAATACTTGTTGTGCTTATACTGGTAATTATAGCAGTCTTACTGAATGCCCATATTGTAAAAAAAGCCGATATCAAGATCGACTTCGTAAAAACAAACAACGGGAAGCACATCGACAATTTGCATACTTCCCGATTATTGATCGTTTCATAATTCAATATCAAGATGCAACACAAGTGAAAAACTTGCATTATCGTGCAGAATATGTATCAAGGCCAGAATACTATAATAATAAAATAATTGGAGATGTATTTGATGGTCAGCGATATAAAAATCTTGTAAAAAAAGGACATTTTAAAGAAAAACATGATGTCGCGTTACTAGCATCAATTGACGGTTTTCAAATTTTCAAACAAAAAACAAATGATTGTTGGATTTTATTATTCATAAATGCCAACTTACCACCGGAGCAACGTGTAAAGAAAGAAAATCTTCTCATATCCACAATTATACCTGGTCCTAAAGGACCGAAGGATCTAAATTCTTTTTTATCTCCTGCTGTTGCAGAATTGCGCCGATTAGAGGAAGGTGTAGAATGCCCT